TCTTATGAGGGTCTATCATCTTGCTCGTTAATGAGCTTCTTAAGCATTTTCATTTGTTTATTTGTTGGACTTGTTTTCTTTGCATTTACTATCACCTACGTACCGTACGGTATCTTGACCAATTTGATCATGAATCTGGATTTTGAATTTGAGTGGGAGCAGCAGGGCTGTGCATCTGCAAAACGACTGAAATGAACGCTTAACTTACGCGCGTTACGAACACTTACGGACGCTTACGACTTCAGTAGCGAAGTCATGCGATTGGTGGAGATGTCTGAACGCCAATATTACTCACCACATCGGGCTGATAAAACATAAACCAATTTATCTTTTGTTGATAAGATGTGATAGGCTCACAGATACGATACGATGAATGCGATAGCAATTGCTACATATTGATTAAGCTACTGTCTATACAAACTCGGTACTGAACGTATGATAACTCTCCTTGTCCGCGAAGCTATTCAGAAAGAAACGTTCATAGTGTTCCAAACAAGTCGCAGAGGACACGCCGTTAGCCACTGCCTCGCCATAAACTGGAATTAATTCAACTGCATGCGTCACATCTGTCACTCGAACGACAGCCCCTTCCCTACAGCGGTTACCGTTTTCGTCCTGCGTGTATGCGCGCTCCACGGTCCACATCGCGAGCTCGGGACGATCATCAGGGCTGGAAATGAAGCGGAAAAATTGGATGTAGAGCAGTGGGTCGGAGAGATACGACGGTAGTTCCAGGTTGGAACCTCGTCGAACGATTGGTTGAAAAATGAGTCGAACCTGTGCGATATAACTCGCTGTACATGATATCAGTAGGGCTACAACATAAGCACATGAAATAGACATACTCATTTTGCCGTTAGTGCCCATGGCGTCAATGAGAACAGTATCACAATTTCCCAAGGGGAAATCATCGCTTGGTGGGTATGCTTGCACCACCCGACTTGGCATGATGACTCGCGGCTGGAAGGCCGAGTGAAGCTGCAATCGAAACTTGTGCCATACCTGGAAACGCCCATATTTGGGGTCCCAGCGGGAATGTTCACCACTGGAAACCGAGGAACGACAAATGAAGTTGGCGAGCGCACGATCAAAGTCGAGGACTGCATATTTCCTGCGTATTTCAGACGGTGAGAGTGATTTGTAATCAGGTGCGACATTGAGTTGAAAAGCGGTGAGCGCATCCTCAGAGAGAATACCTTTGAGGAAGTGATTACGGACTGGTCGGGGACCATGGATTGACCTGACTTCGTCAGGAAGAACTCGGGAAACCCAGGAGAGTGCAGGATTGGTAGTTGTGATATCTTCATCTTCGGCATGTATGGCATTAACCAGTGACGCCCCGCGAGAAGTCAGCAGCGTGTACAGGCCGAACATTTCCATAGATTCTTGGCGATTAAGAATCTGCACGCACTGCTCCGTAAAATCTTTGATTTGTCGGGACGTCCGCGGGAAAAGGTCCTTGCAATGTGTGATAAGTAGCCGCTCCGTCACGTCAGCAGAGAACTGCATCAAAGTGCCCAATTTCTTAATCGTACCATCGAAGCTCTGCAGAAGCTCGAGTTTGGGGATGAAAAAATCCTCTTTGATACCCTTCTTCCCCTTCCTTGCCTCGGCCTGGACAATAGCATCCTTGAAAGAGTGGAAATCTGAAAGCGCCTGAACCATTGACTGAAGTGATTGAGGTGAGTGAACCGGATTCTGTGCAAGGTAAAAGAACTCCACGAGGGCACGAATTGCACGAACGAATCTGGGTGGAACGGCCCCTGCGATCGATGCAACGATAGTGCGTTGGATGTCTCTATGCTCGCGGCCTGTCATCTGATTAACGTGAGTGATACCTTTCGTAAAGTGGCGCGTTCCGACTCGCTTGTGCTGCACCATGAAGCGAGTATCAAGCTCATAATGTCCTACAATTTCTTTGATCCATTTCAGTGGATGATCCGCGAAGAATTTATGGCAAGTGTGCAGCACTTCGCCGGCGAGAAAAACGGACGGACATGCAAACATCCAATCGCGCCAGTGTGGCATATGAACACCAGATAGATTAATGGCTTTGGCCACTTTCTGGAACTTGTCGAGATCCCAGGGATCGACCGTTCGGGATATCTCCACAATGAGTTGCAATGTGTGCTTCCCGGTACGAGGGGGGTGGAGAATTCCATCGCCAAAATCCGCTTGTGTTGCCATAGTCAGCGGGGATGAGTTTTTGCTGACTGCAGCGATCATAGTAGCCTCTGGTAGGTCGCACACATGAGCGACGAGCGGTGTAAACACATGACGAATGTAACGGGAAGGATCGGGCATAAAGCAGCCATCCTTCGCTGCGGCCTTGAGGTTGGCGCAAACAAGGTCCATACACTTATGCCACAGTCTGGCTTGGAGAATAGACTGGTAATCTGGATGGACACGGAACTTGACGACAGGGATGTAGGCTATGCAGCGCCAAGCTCGTAATGTTGCTTTGGAACGAACCTCAGAATCAATGTTACCGATGGTAACGAAGACCGGGTGCATCTCAATTCCTCCGGTAAGTCGCGTTACGGGAGTTTTGTCGGATCCTAAGATTATCGGGACTTGAGTCGCACCCAACGGGAGATGGTCCTAGAAATTACAATTGGTGAGGATTATATTAATAACAGGGCGACCAAACCTGAATTTTCCATGCCATATCGGCACTCATGTAGTCTCCATATTCACGCTTATTTTCGACGTTAGCGACGTGAGGGTGAAAGGTCATGTGGTTTGCAAAAGTTGGGTCGCTGAATAGTTGCTTGACAACCTCCAGCGCATCGCGCCAAACAAGCTCCACGGGATGGACAGTCTTATAGCCTTTAAATTCTATTTTAGAGACTTTCCACAGGGCAAAAGAAGGCAGTGAGTCCATCCAGTCCAGGAGGCAATCTTTTGTGGTAAAAGATGGTTTTGCGTGATCCGGAGAGTCAAACTGTGAAGGCAAGAGTTAGGAGTACAGCTTAGATTGATATTCGTCACATTTACCCATCTTAACTTCAAAAATTTGGTTATCTGAGTTTGAGTAAGGTTTTCCACCAAAAACTTCCCTAATTCCCATTCACCTTCATCATGGAAGGGGTAATAAGGATTTATCTTCCGTCGATATGCATATTGATCATCTTCTAACTTATCCAGCATATTTTTACCGACACCATAGACATACCCAGATTGCGGGTAACACGTACCAGTGACAGGTATCTGGCCATTGAATACAGAAGGGACGGGTAACGTTTGTGGTCGTGCGTCGAATGGCCAACAAGTAGATGGAGAGTTGAAATGTGAGATAAGCGCCTCGATGGATGGATAGTCCCCCAGTTTGCAGTTGGGACATAGCCTGCCAATTTGAGGTATGTACGGTATCATGAAGTGAGCAACAGAAGTACTTACATTGTAGCGCAGACTTGGCTTAGACTTTAGCTGGTGAGTGAGTGCATCTGAAAAAACTAAAGTCATTCAAAGTCCGAATACCTCACATTTCGCAGTGCACAGTCATCGCGCTAGGCCAATGGAACTTGCGTCTTCATCACCGGTCTCATCTCCTGCTCGACTAAGCAGTCCCACTTTCACCAGCACTACATCAAGCAGTGCGACCCGTGTAGAATTAACTCCCTTGGAGTTTTATAAGAAGGTTGACTACCCTGAGTCACCCCATATAATGGCCACTGAGCTCTTATCTGGCTCTGACTGTTTACTTTCCCCCAAGATGTCCCCCTATCCTCCAGGTTCTCCAAACTGTTGCTTTTCCCCGGTGGAAGAGCTTCCGTACCTTCCTGATGTAAAGGAATGCCTGTTGTATCAGCCTGACAGTTTCCAGTCACAAAGGTCACTTTCTCGGGCAGCTTACTTGCGTGAGAAGCCATCCAAGAGGCATGTACCATACCCTCCCAGGCCAAGTCCACTGGAGCTTCGGTTTGCAAACCGCGTGACAGGGCGAGTACGCCAACCTGACTTTACAGCTGAACAACTGCAAGAGGTATTTGTCTTTTCATTGCTTTGTTATACAAGTTCTCCGGTTCTCACATAGTCTATGTTCAAAAGCACGAGGATGCAATATCCAGTGGCCTCTCACAGATGAGCTTTGGTACATTGTACAAAGCGTTCAAGGCAGTACTTGCTGGTCGTGAGGCTGCTTGCCATGAAGTAGCCACATTGTTATGGCAGGTTGAAGCCTCAGAGCGCATGAGCGCATTCAATCAGGCGCTTCACCAGGAGAACAAAACCCGGCTTTTTTTGAAGGACGAACAGCTGAAGAAGATTAGGAACATTTTTTCCGAGCGTGACCGCACGGAAATCGATGATGATACGAATTACAATCAAGCCGTCTACAATGATGAATGCGAGATACTTCGCGCCATCACCACCCAAGCAGAGATAATCTCAAACCACCTGGGCTCCAGCGCCAGACGTGAATTATTGGCGTCTACCGGCGAAACTACCTACCTCCCTCATTTTGTTGGTACTCTGAAAAATAAGGACAGTATCACACGTGCGCTGGGGGGTGGTTGTACGGAGGCCGGTGTCATCACCGATACCGACACCGATACGGATTCCGGCGAAGATGATGCTTCAGTCAGGCAGCCCGGCCAGCAGGACTGACGCAGCGTGTAATTGTGACCATCAATGGTATGTGACCGCCAAGCCATTCACAACACTCACACTGATCATTATCAATTCAGTCATCGTGTTAATAGATTGTTATCAACTGGTACCGCCTTGCTTCGACCGTTCAATAACGTGCTTCGCCCGCCCCGGCCGTTCATATGTCTTCCTGCCGTTCATAAATCACCTTATCGGACACGCCCCTCCCCTCTTTTTACACTTCGTTAGTAAATCGCCTTGCTTTGTTTGTAAATCACCTTATCAGCCCGCCACGTGTTCCCGGTTTGTAAAGATCGTGTAAAGTCTGTGTCTCTTTCCCCCCTATGTACTATTACATCAACTCGCAGTTTAAATGCATGCGTGCGCTCTCACATCCCCTCCACCCTTGAATGCCTAGTGAGCGTAACTCTCAGCGACAGCGAAAAACTAAGGCCAAAGTCCCGAAGCCACCGCGAGGTTCTGGCCTCAATCCATCGGGCGAACCGGCAACTGACCAACTCTATATCCCCACTGAACAGCCACAGATGTCCTCTTTCGACTTCGACGCCCATGCGGCCCCTGGAGGTTGGCAGGGCAGTAACAACGATAGCGCACTTCCCACCCCAATGCCAAGTAGCAGCTGTAAGTCCGACTCATCACACTTTCGTTGACTGATCGCTCATCATTCTGCAGCCCTGCATAGCTGGAGCATGCAGGGCGCCAACACCGATAGTCGCTTATCTTACGGCCATTCCTACGACACTTCGTCTTTGGAGCACGCCGGCACCGACTTCGATGACGATCACCCCCCTTACAACTCCAACCCTCAATTTTACGACACTGCGTCCATGGAAGCGCCCTCCCAGGGCGCTTCCTTCAACTACCTATCTCACGGCTCCTACCACAATCAGATGGCGGGCCCCTCTTACAATACTGCGTCCATGGAAGCGCCCTCCCAGGGCGCTTACCCACCTCAAGGATCCTCTCAAGGCACTGCCGCCGGCACAAGCGCAACTGATGCGACGCCCATACAACAAGGCGAAATTCCACGCACGGATGTGATGCATGTAAGTAAATTTGTTTTTCTTCAATCAATTTCACGCTAATTTTTATTATTCAGACGGCGGGCCCGGCAAGGGAGCCAAAGCGGCAAGGCCAACAACGAGCTATGCCGCCTACGCCACGCTTGATCCCCTACCCAGCCACGCGCCCACAAGGCGCTTCCGAATCCGCTCCCACAGCCTCAGCCTCAGTCTCAGCCTCAGCCTCAGCCTCAGCCTCCACCTCGCAACCTATGTCCTCAACGTCTGACCTCATCCAACTAACAGACGACATCATCGGCCAGACCATGAAAACGGCAACGCGGCTGGTCATGCACGAGCTATTCGAGGAGCAAGCGATGGCGATCAACAAAGCCGCCAAGAAGATAATGCTGAATCGAGTCATCCGGGACTCCGTCCCACGTTGTTTTGGACCTAATGGTAAGTTTTTATCTCAATGATCATTAGCATCACGCTGACCCTTTATTAGCGACATTTCAGGAATTCATTACTAACAAACATCGCAAAGAAGTCGCGAATGCGCTGTCGTCCACGCGTGGGAAGCTCGTCGAATTCGCGCGGGACGGCGTCTTCCACGCGTACAGACTTTTCCCTCCACGGTACAGTAATGTGCCTGCTGTCGTCTTTCGCAAACGCATGATCGAAAAGATCATGCGTGATGCGGATGGACTCGTTTTCATGCATATCTACACTTTTGACCAAGTGAGTTTTCGTTCTCGTTTGCGGATAGCCTAACCCCTCTTTTTTTTCAGAATGGACGCGTTGAAATCAAGGCGAAGTTTCAAAACTTCTTCATCATGGCCAACGTGATCTGCTTCACTTGGTCTCACTTACGCCACGAGTTTCTCGGCGAGACGGAAGAAGAACAGCTCAAACGTTTGAAGGTGATCTGGGCGCTCGCCGGCGCAGCGACGTTCTGCGGCCTAGACGAGCAGCTTGAGGATGAGTTGAAGGTTGAGTCTTTCGGGGGGGTGGTCGTCAATCGTAAATTCCTTTCTATTCTAGCCGCCATCAACAACCTCACTGGGGACGAGCGAGTAGAATTCGATGACTTTTTACGGTACGTGTTGGTAGTTGGACCCTCACAAGCGTGCTCGTAAATACGCATCTCTACTACTACTATGTTTTGATTCTTTCGATTGTACTACTACTAGTATGACTGATAATCTTATGTCGCGTCGAACACTGATAATCTTATGTCGCGTCGATAAACCTTAGATCTCGCATCTAAATGTACTCAGGGTTCAAACATAACCAAAACCAGGCATTTACGAACCAAATTTCGTGCTAACCAAAACGGTAAATCTCGCAAGCGTTTTAGACGACATTTTCACCAAGTCCAATTTTTAGATGTGTGTTCTGAACCTCGTGGCGCAGAACTTGCCTTAACAGTACTAGGGTGACCACGCTCAGGCTGCTTCTGCTTCTCCCAAACACATGAGCCACTCACCTTTCACCCTCTCTGCCTCGTGTCCCAACCCTTGTCGACACCCAAGGCAGTGAAATGGCCTTCAAAAGCAAAACCGTCAAGCGTTTCAGCGTTCGCGGTTTCCTCGCAGCGATCCTGCACCCATTCATGACATCCCCAACCGACGCCCCTGGGGTGTTCACCTCGGGCGATAGCTACAACAACGTAGGAGATTGGCACACGCTGCTCTTGAACAACGAGCTTTCTTCACAGTGCGAGCTCGAACGCATGGTCTGCTGCAAATGCACCACCAGCGTCGAACATGAATTCTTGCTCCTACACTTCCGCCACCCGACGCAACACCACGCTGTCGCTATCCTAGTGTTGGACAGGACATTTCGTCCGGATTCTACAGAGAATAATAACGGCAATGGCTCGTCGAGATCGGTTGGCACTGGCCAATCAACCATACTCTCCCCCTCGGTATCTGCAACCCCCGCCCACGATTCCATCTTCACCACCCCCAATCACGGCTCTGCAATCGAATCATACCTCACTAAACGATATGGCGAGCACAAGCACCTTGGTAACCTCGACTTTTCCGCTTCCGCTCGTCCTTCGGCGATGCAAGTATCCGTGCTGTTGTGCGTGCTCCGCAAGCATTCCCCAACTTATCATCTGTGGCAATACCAGTGTTACTGGTATGCCTACACTGTTTGGGAGGCCCTCAAGAGGCTTTTTCCTGGGTGCTGGGAGACAACGCTGAGCGAGGGGCGCTCTCGCTTTTGCGGACAGGAGATTAGGAAGGCGGAGAGTGTTGAGGTGGTGTGTGAGCTGTATCGCGCTGAGTGGGCGCGTTTTGAGAATGCGGCGGAGGAGAGGAGGAGGGCGAAGGAGGAGGAGGTGCGCCGGGTGAGTGTTCTTTTTTGGGATTGGTTGGGCTGTTTACTTATTTGTTTTTACAGTTGAGGATGGAAGGTTTGGTGGAGGGACGGGCTCAACGTCAACTAGAGGTTGACGAAGAGAGGAGGCAACGAGAGGAAGCGGAGAGGAGAGCAGACGAAGAGAGGAGGCAAAGGGAGGAAGCGGAGAGGAAGTATGAGGCTGAACTGAACCGAATGCGAGCAAGAATGGCCGAGCTCGAGCGCCGTGCAGTGTGATACTGGTGTAACGATTGCTCTCATTTCCTCGTCATCGACATCCTCCTCACTAATAGATCCAGTTGCAATGTACATTACTATTAGAACATATTAGATATGACCTTCCTGTCTCAGACTCTCGATCGGCATGTAACTTTGACTCTGGACGAAAGTGTTTACTACCGGTAACGCAGATTCGTCCGCTTTCAAGTTAAAGGATACATCAAGGATGCATTGCAGTTGCATTCGTGAACGAGCTGCCGATTGTGGAGCACGCGGCTAGACTTCACAGATCTGACTCGGAAGGAAACCAATGCCATGATTTGTATCGTATTGGCCTGTAGTACAGGGCCCGTCGGTCGTACTGGCCGCCACCAGTAATATCCTAGCAGTAAACAAAACCACGCTTGAACATTGAGCAGGAGCATCATCTCTCGGATAGTGCAATTCAACACATCGCGGCCGATCCTTTCATGCATCGCCTCAAAGAATGCCATACGCCCCAACCACTGTTTGTCTGACCTCAATGTATGTGTGATAGACGAGACTGAACTGCAGCTGCTCATTCTGCACCTCCGGGAAATCGTGTGTGACTTGTATTCGCAGGATCATGATTGGTCTAAAGTATACATAGGAGGCAATATGCCGTATCCAGTCCAGATCGTGTGAATTTCAGGACTCTCATCCTACTGTTCCGACAAACCCTCATCACACTTCCGCTCGCTGGTGGACAATGCTTGCAACCACTTTATTGAGGCGTTCAGCAACTTCAACTCCTTCAGTTTTTGGGAGGGCCTTCTCGAACTCGTGCGCGCGCCGCTCAGATGCATTGTTCATGGTAGGTGAATCTTCTATTTTGAACTGAAAAGTTATTAAATGCGGACAGCACCGCGACACGGAGTACAACAACCCAAAGGTATGTGTTCCACGTTAGCGACCTTTATACTTACTCACAATATTTCTCTGAGCAGATACCCTTCGCATTCACAGCAGACAACGTGAAGAGGGCCGAAGAGATCATCTCTAGATATCCTCCGCAATATAAGAAGGCTGCAGTCATTCCTCTCCTTGACCTCGGGCAACGGCAGAACAAGGGATGGACGAGCATCAGCGTTATGAACTATGTCGCAAAGTTGCTCGGGATGCCCCCAATGCGGGTGTACGAGGTCGCGACCTTCTATACCATGTTCAACCGGTGCGTCAACCACGCGGCACTAGTTAGAGGTCTGCTCTACTGACTACTGTATTGGCGCAGTGAACCAATTGGGGAGAATTTCGTGCAAGTCTGTACCACCACACCATGCATGCTGAGTGGTTCCACGGAGATTTTGAACACGGTTTGCAGTCAACTGGGTGGAATAACACCAGGAGCCACGACAGCCGATGGTAAATTCACAGTTGTTGAAGTTGAATGCCAAGGTGCTTGCAGTAATGCACCTATGATGGTCGTGAATGATGATTTCTACGTTCGTCGCCTTTCCACTCCTCGCAAGACGTGAGCTGAACTGAGTCCAGGAGGATCTGACACCGGCAACCACAAAGAAAGTCCTGGAGGCTTTCGCAAAGGGCCAAAAACCGAAACCGGGACCGCAAAGTGGGCGAAAGACAAGCGAAAACTCTGCTGGACTTACCTCGCTTACATCGAAAGTAAGTTCGCTTCATACAGGCAATATCATGTCATTGAATATCTGTTACTAGCCCTATGGACCAGGAGAGTTCTGCACACCGGAGTTTAGCTAGATATTCCTAGAACTATCTTTGATGGTAATGATTTGAAAAAAGAAACAAAGTGTGAAGTCCTATCGCTGTTCAAAATTAATTACCCGAGATGTTTAGTCGTCGCCCTCTCCGTCGTCATAACCGTGTGCGCCGTGTCCACCCTCCGGAAGCCTTTCAATCATAAACCTGCCCAAGAAGTGGCAGTCGGAACACAAGATCAAGACATGAAACTTACTCAATCTCCTCTCTCAAGTCGTCACAGTAAGTGTCTGTATGCAAGTTAATAATAAAAGGCGCTGAATTGCACCGAGACGCACCAAGAGGTAAGTCATGCGCGTCACATCCTAATGCTGTTTTCAGCAACATAATTGTTTGTCCGTGCAGAACACTTACCAAAAGGCATCTCGATCTCATCTGCGATACCCTCGATGCCCATTAATGTAAAGGCAACTACAGTAACGATGGGAATTGTGCTCCAGCCGAGGTCATTCACGAGGGTGAATGGCAGGGCAAACAGGTATAAAGTTACACATTGCTTTAAATGGATTCCATCTAGAGCGCTATCAGTAATTGTTGGGGATGCCAATAAAGATTGAACTTGCAAGGCGCGGGTATAGGGGTATTCGCCACCCTCTCCATCGAAGTCATTTGGTCAACCATTGACTGCACCCTGGAGAAAGATGAGATAGTTTTCAGTGGACAAACACATCTGACTTACAACCCACTCATGGCATTCATGCCTGAGTATCAGTACAATATTAAGCGTCAAGATTGAGAATTATGTCAGGGTATCCTACCTGCCGGACCAACAGTTTCAAGCAAACCTTCCCGCTTAAACCTGAAGATGGCGCTAGACAGCTCATGAGCGATACTGTTGTTATTGGTCAGTTGTAGTGTGACGTATGAAATTTTTCTTACGAACAGGAGGGGAAATGGGATAGACATTCGATCAGCGTAGGGGTGGAACTCGACAGTTTGATGAGAATTTGAAAGCAGCGGGGTAGTTGAATCTGACGCGGTGGCATGGCCAACGAGCATTTTCTTGCTGCGCTTCCGACGAACTCTCTTAGTGGCATCAGGGCTGTTGTGTGCACTATCCGAAGCTGATGAAGTAGCATCATAGGACTTAGGAGAGGGTCTGTCTTGAGCTGTGGTATAACCAAGGTCGTGGATTCGCGTGAAAGATGCGGGAAGAATGCCAGTATAATCATCGTAATCAGGCCCATCTTCATTGCGGAGGTAGTGCTTGACAGCAAACGCAAAAGCGACGCAAAACTGCAGGACTTCTATCTTCTGACGCTTGAGTTGAGCGGTGGTAAGTGCAGACGTCGGTGTTTTTCCGAGAACGTGGGAGGGGTGATCTTCGGCAGGAGGTAGCGAGACATGAATCCATATCATACGAGACAAGTTGCGGACCTAGAGAAGACTCAATGAAGATGAATACAGGCAATTATTGAACCCTACGTTAGACGTGACGGACGAGAAGCACTTTCGACCTTCCCAGAAACGGTCGTATGAAGTGCTAGGCAGAGATCAAATACTGTCCTCGGTAACTTCATGCTTTACTCACCTATTTCTGTAGAGAGCTGAGCTGGTCAACGTCGTTGGCTATGCATACGACTCACCTGAATACGAGAATCAAACCAACCTGGGGATTGTGACATGTCAGCATATTCATGGGTTAGCAACATTCGCTAGTACTTACCACCACAGACAACAGTGGCACGACCGAATTTGTCAAGACCACTCTCTTCCCTTTGGACCACGCATAGGCAACCAACGCAGCAAATATGGTGACAGTCAAAACTGGACCAATTATACGACCGATGATCTA